ATTTCTCCCAAGAGATGAAGATTCTCTTTTCCGTCTCAATTTTCCACCTGTCAAGCAGCAAAAGTTGTTCAAATTCAGAGGCCTAAAAGGTAGAAGGATCCAGGATACTCTTTGTATGGGCTGCTATGTAATTATTGATGCTACTTTGATCTGGTGATAAGCAGCTGGAGAGGATTTGATTTATTCCAAGCACACTGAGCCTCAACGCCTTTGGAAGCATTCTCTGCATTGGACAAAGTCTGCGTTTTAGTTTTAATATCTTGCTTCTAGTGACACCTGGCAGGTCTATTACAAAAGGAAGGCTGAGTATAAAAATGTTGAGTACTTACAAAATAATTTATCCCCAAGGAGACTTTGCAGCCTTAAAATTCACAGCCATCTCATCTAGCCTCAAATTGACTGCTTATGCTTTTTGACACTTACTACGCTAATATGAGGAATCCCTCTCACACATTAGTGTCACATCAGTTTAGGAATTCTGACAGTGACAGATAAGCTGAATGCTATCTGGGAAACCAGTTTTGCATGTCTTTCTGCTTGGGATGAGAAGTCAGCATCTTGAAAAAGCCCTGTCCTCACTTGGACATGCAGTAAAAAAGAAAACCTTATAAAGGTAAATGAATACTTTCATTAATTCAAACTGTTGTATAATACAGCTTTAAATAAAAATAAATAAAATAAAGTGAATCATTACTTAACTGAAGTTGCTTATTACCTGCATTTCTCTTAAACACCTTCTAAAAAGGTTGCGTTTGGAGATGTCACTGTTATTCACCCTGTCCATGAACAGTTGTACTATAGATTTAAGAAGGTACCAAACTCAGTTCACAGCACTAACTCCAAGAAGAAATTAGTAATTGAGCTTTCTAAATGTTGGATGCAGTACACTGTTACTGGCTTTTACCATGGGACAGCCTCTATTTGCAAGACACCAGCAACAAAATTCCTGTTAGCTTCAATGAAGCATGGAAAAAGCTCTGTAAAGAACTCGGGATCTGATAATGTAAAGTGATTCCTACACAATTTTTCATGTCGTCTTAACATCTATTTTGATACTTTTATTATTGGAGCTTAACTTGAAAGCACCCTAACAAATCTGATCCTCAGCTGCTAATATGCATGGGAAAAAAAATACACATACACACCACTGAAACCTCCATTCTCCCCAGCCAAGTTGCAACTCATCTGACTTTCTACTCCAGAAAACAGTCAGTGCTCCTGCCAGAAAAGCGACTGAAATGAAACACAGCAAAATCCATTCCTCTGCTCTACAGGGTAGGTATGTACAGTATATTTTGGAGTTTTGTCCTGGGACCCAGGTTTAAATGACTCAAAACTCTGAGGCTTCCACGATTATCCAAGACATTACTTCACACTTTTCACCATTGCAACCTGATTTTCCTCTGACACGGGAACATTTCTTTTCTTCCCCAGTCTCATCCTGTTCTAACTCTTCACATCATCAACAGCTCAACTGTTTGCTGTCTCAGCTCTTCTTTGAGGATCATTGTACATGCTTCCCAATCTATCTACATCATTTGCCAATTGCTTTCCTCTTGCCATCAATTTAAGCGCTCTCCAGTTTTCTTAATCATTTCGTAGTCCACACAATTATCAGAAAGGTATTAGAAAAGGCTACAATGATCTCCTGTTATCTGTGTATCAGCTGTTCTGAATACATCCTTAGAGATGCTTACAAATTTGCTTCTTCAGGCTCTTTGTTGCTTCTGGTTTGCGTTTGAAAACTCAAAAGAATACTCTGGCCTTTGTTGCAATTACAATTCACAAGCAGCACCACTGCCTCATCCTTATTGGTTCAGATGCAATGTTTTCAGCCCTACACAGCTTTACCAGTAAAATGAAGCACAAAGGCAGCTTCCATAGAGTAAGAGGGAAGAAAGCTGTTGTATACCAGGTGCTCAGAGTAGGGCCCTTCATTTGGTGCTGAGGAGTAATGATAGACAAGGTGCCCTGGTCAGACCAAAGCACTGTCCAGACCTTTTCTTCATCTCCAGGAGTGTGTTAACATGCAGATCTTCAAGACAAGGGTTACTGAGGGAGGTCTATTTGACAGTCTCTCCAGTAAAGCATGTGGGAGCTGAGAGTGCAAGCACAGAGCTTTACTGGGTTGGACGTGGAGTCTGTGTGTTGAGCAACGCTCAGTGGATTTCTTTTTGATGCGTTTTTATTCAACAAGATGTAGGGCTGCAAGTGCAATCTTTTCCTATGCAAAGGGAGAAGAGCAGTAAGCCTGAGAACTTCCAGCAGAGAAATACTAGCACTTAACTGAGTAGTTTCTGCCTTCTTTTCCTTCCATTATAGCATCTCACAACTTCAAACAAATGCCTCTCATTAAGTTATGACAACTGCCAGCCCAGTGTGACACTGACATCCACTCGAGTCCCCCAGAACACAGCACTATTGGTAATGGTGTGATCAGACAACTTTCTTTGGAAGGGTACTGGCAGTCACCACTATTCAACAGCATCAGCCCCTTATTCATCCCACCAGCTCAATTTCATCTTTTATTTACCACCCATCAGGATTTTATTTATTTATTTTTAAGGCCTGTACTGGCCAAAGGAATGCAAAGGCTCCAAGCTAAAATATGCCAGCTCAAAGACATGAACAGGGCTCAGACAGTGGTTGTCTGTCCCTCACGTCTTCCCCTTCAAACCAGGAATACCTTATTTCCCCAGTCATGAAGTTACAAGGCACCAAACAGATGGAGTGGCATTCAGCAACAGGAACCTTTACTGCAGCAGTACATGACACAGACACCCTACCGCAGGGCTAAAGGGCAGCATCTCACAAAATCCAGTTACCCAGTCAGATGGAGACTTCACGTGTAAGACGTCTTTCTCTCAGGGCTCTTTCTATCACAGACACAGACAAGAAAAAGAACAGCCTTCTTGTTCTGCCTCAAGAGGACAAAGACAATTTGCAGCACTGAGACCATGAATCAGACAGTGAGCGTTCTGGGGAGAAAAGAAGCCCTCTCACATGCTTTCCACAGCATCACTGTGACCCTGCTGGCCTGTACATAAATCTGAATTCAGAAGCAAACACACTGCCCCATGTGCTTTAACAAACAGCTTACCTAAGACATGCAATGCTGGCCATGGAAAGCTCAGGGCAGAAAGCTGTCCCGGAGCCACAGCAACCCAGAAAGAGAGCTGGAACACAGCAGCAGCTGGAGGTTTCCATTTGACATGTTGGAAAGCTCAACAACATGCTCACGCTATCAAGCTGCAAGCAATTAACCACTTTGCAAACATACACTTTCTATTCAAGAAAACACTGATTTCAGGATCTGGTAGCATCCTGCATTTGTTGCTTTGATGCCATCACTAACATGTTATGAAAAGCCTCAGAGTTCTTGCTATTTGCCACTTGAAATGGGTCCTTTTGCATTTTTCATAGAGAGCTCTCCAGCAGAAATACATGTAAAAGATGACAAGCAAATGCCAAATGGTTGAGTTCAGTTACTGCTTTGCTTCAGGAGACAATGAGGACTGCTTCTGCTGCCTGTATCACAGAGCACAGCAGCTTACCTCAAGCTGCTGGGGCTCCTGAGCAAGCAGCTAACCACAGACTATCCAAGACAAGAAACACATTTGGTTCCTCTGTACGGCACTAGTGCTGTCTGCAGAGCCACGGGTGAGTCCTTGCTGTTCAGTTAGGTCCTGACACTGCTTTCAGTTGTCCAATATATGGCCGTTTCTGGTAGCAAAGCTGGCAGCAGCTTCCAGAGAGGCAAGGACCCCCAGAGCATCTCCAGCTCTGAACTCCATCTGCACCCACACAGCGCCACATCATGTTTCTGAACTGGCTCGACACTTGAGCACAAAGTTTTTACCACCTCAGAGAATTTGCTGTGTTTCTTCTAGAGACTATTAAGACTTGTTACAAGTTTCTGCATCTGGCCCAGCAAATGCATGAGACCAATCACACCATCGTTCTTCTCCAAGCCTTCCAAGCTGCTCTTACTTGAGCTTCTTTACATCAGCTTTACGTCAACACCATCCTTAGGGGTGTTAATTTCATGCTTCCAACCTACTGTAAAGCCCCTGCTCCAGGAAGGCCAGCAAACTCAGGCTTAGTTTAATCCATGTGAATCATTCCACTGAGACTAATAAGAAAAGGTAGCATATGAACTTAAGTGCTTTGCTGAACTGGGGCCAAAGCCTCCTAAACCATTTTAACCACAGGAGACAGAAATCAGAGCCTCAGGCTTTTGCTCTACAGCTTTATATCATATTACAAAGTTCCCCGCTTCCAGACCCCTTCCTTCTGAATTAGAGCCAACAGGCTTACAGGATTGTCCAGAAGACAGTCAAGTTTATGACTTGACTAGGGTTTTCCCATATCTTGTGCCATTTCACATCTTCTTTCCTTTTGTTTATATGTTATTCTGTCCTCTCTAAATGAATCCTACTTCCTTAAAGAAAAAAGCAGGAAACCAACACCCTAGCTCAGCATCAGCAACTCCCTCCACCACAAGGTACCTACGTCAAGCCAACTCCAAAGGTTTTCTCATGATTTTCAGAGCAGCATTAGCCTGTGACATCAGTTTTCTGGCTAAGAATGCCACTAGCCCTTTACCCCAACACCTTACAACAGATTATTTGGATCTATAGTGCACGCTAAACAGGATCTGATGATTACAACATTACTTCCAAACCTGAGCTCACCCATCTAAGGAAAAAAGAGAAAAAAAGAGGTTCTCCACAAAATTCGTGGAGTCATTTTCAGAACTGCATGGATTTTGACAAGATTTCGAAGTAAAAGATTCGATCTCCTTTCAATTTTGAACCTGCAGAATTTCCAAGCAAGCTGCAATTACCACAAGAGAAACTGGGAGTTTTCAGAACAGGTCCTGAACTGCCTGATTCTGCTATCAAGTGATAGCAGAAGTTACGGGGCTTTTCCATCATCCAGTTGCCAGCACCATGTATCTGTCCCACAGACTGCAATTATGAGGAGCCACTGAAGCATGTGACAACTTGGACACGCACATGTGTGGGGAAATGGCCTGTCCCACCAGCCTGAATGCTCTTCAGCAAGGAAACAAGGATGCAGCACAGCAACCAAAAGCCCATGAGACCACGGAAAGCAATCATGGCTCTGATTTCAGAAACTCAATTAATGCTCAGCCATAACAGGACTGTACACTTAAGGGTTAGGAAGAGGCTGTAGCTCCAAGGAAGATTCTAGCTTTATGTCTTTGCACCTCTTCACATTAGCAGGGAAATACAAGGTGTCTCCGGAACAAGATAAGGAAAGATTTCCTCCAGTCATCTCTTCAGAGGCTAAAATAAGCCACTCAAAACATACTCAGCTGGCCTGAGCCCAGGAACAGACCTTACTGTGCAAACTGGATGAGGTATTCAGGCACGTGAGTTCTGCTGCCCGCTGATCCCATTGCTGACATTTACCTGCCACCCTGGGGAGCAGGGAGGAAGTTTGAGACAATTTATAACACTGGACAAGCAGGAGCACAAGACAAGGCAGTACAAGCTCCTTAAAAACAGTAAGTGCCAGACCTTTTTTCTGCTTCTCTGTGCTTCAGATGCACTGCTCGAGAGAAGGGAAAGATGAGGGAGGGATTAATCTGAGGAAGTAACACATCTACACATTTATGCTTGCCTCTGGAGCCCTTCTCAGCCAGCCTGCTTTATCTCCCATTACACAAAGCTGCAACTCACCTCACAGGTCTCCCAATTGCCTTGCAGATAGCAGTATCTACAATCAGGCTCTTTGGAGTCAGACCTCTTTGTCAGCTGCCTGTATTTTCACAGAGCCACTGAAAGCAAGTGTTTCTTGAAGCAGCCAACAACCACACCATGAAACCAAGTGAGTGCTTTTTAAATATCTTGGAAGCAGACTGCACGCCTGTGGTTCAGGGAAGAAGGCAGTCACAGTGAGGCCATGTCAGAAGTAAGAACCGGCTATAGCCAAATCTCATTCGCTGCACCCAGGGAACAATCACCTTGGCAGGAAGGATAAGGAAGCCTGAAGAGCTGTGCTCATCAGGAGCACAAAAACCATGCCACATTTCCCTTCAGCCTGGCAGCAGTTTTTCAACTGATGATTTCTGGGAACATGCCGCAACACCCTTCTGTAAAGCGGTAAGCAAGTAGAGCCTGGCTTTGACACTTATGACAAAGGTTGGGTATCATTTCCCTAAATGTAGACCCTTTTACATTTCAGGAATAGATGAGGTTTAAACTATGAATTCTCTTACATGGGGAAAATATCTCTCCAGTGTCTTCACTGTGAAAATCATGAAGTAGCACACACATGCTACAATTCACTGATGTAAAAAGAATAGGAGCAATTTCAATCACCTCTTCAGTTAGTTTATCTTTGTGCAGCATTTACAAAGTGGGAAGCACTGAGTGGCTGCAAAGGAACTCCATCCCTGGGAATTTAAGTCCGTCTCTTGGTTACTAGACAAGTAACAGTTATGTGGTTAATGTACTGATTTTTAAACTGCTGCAAAAGGAGTTTAAGTTATGAGCTATTAAGGTCACCCAACTTAGTGAACAATTTGATCTGTTATTAGTACAAGTCACTGCTCATCTCCCCACAACATCTCAAAGGAAGCTCCCATAGACCTTCAACTGCAGCGGACTGTCAGTAAAGTGCACAGAATGTGACTGAACATCTGATACAGGCCCTGAGATACCACTCAGGTGCTATACAAAAATAAACTACGATGAGTAAAGAATGAAGTTGCAAAGTTAAATTTTCAGAGTTAGAAGATCTAAATACGAGATAACCCGGACATTTATCAAAGAACATTTAACCTCAAAAGTTTGACACATCAAGTGCAATTAAAACAAGTCTGTCCTGAATGCCACCACCTTCATCTGAACTGAGAACTAATTTTGCACTGTATGTCTAATCTCAGCCAAGGTTAACAGAATCTATTACATTACCAAATAAAAAATAGTAGTAAGATCTATGAAGCCAGTAATACTGATACTTCTAGCATTGCTCTCACCTCTTCGAAGCAGTGACTGCCACTGGCACAGACTGCTCTGCAACAGTTGCATGGCAAGCAAGCAAAAATAAGGGCACAGGAGACATGTTATTTTCTTAATTTTGCCACCTTTCCCTGCTCCTTTCCCTGCTCCTGGCATGTTTCCCTAACATGCCAGGAGCATATTTTGTTGCCACAATGCTCATCTTGTTGCCTGAGTAGTATGACCATACCAAACCATGAACACTACCAAGTTCAGATGAGCAAGCGATTTTCCAGACAAGAGAAAAAAGGATCATGAAGATTTCAGGTTTACTCCCCATATTCATTTTCACAGTGTAACACATTTAATACACACACACGCATATATATGTATTTATATTACCTAGAGGCAATCTGCATCAGACACAAGGACTTCCCTACGCAGCCCTGCAACATCAGTTAAATACTGCAGAAAAAAGACCACCCTCCCTTTTGGTAAGCTGAGCCATTGTTTTAGGACAGGACAGCAGTAGCAGAAATACTCATTAATAACACAATCCCATATTCTTCTGTTCCTAGGTTCAAGTGTTCAAACCCTCATACTTGAGCCAGGGGGTCAAAGACGCATCCAAATTCATGCAAGCTCCCCATGTCCAAATATTGCCACCACCAATTTTCTTTCCGGACTTCAGGACTAAAACACGCCAATGCCCTGGACCAGGACTTCACTGGATGTAAAAGAGCATGTCTTCAAAGCCAAGAAAATTAGCTTTACCTAAGCATTAGCTAGCAGCCTAGCCCACCATGACTTTCATGACTTCATCCATTGAAGGGCTGAATTTTTGTTTCTACTTGCAGTGCTCCACACATGTACCTGTAAGCACAGAACAGCACTGGCTAGGCATTGTAACAGGACCTCACTGACTGAACGCCACGTGTTCCCTGCACCTGTACAGGTCAGCCTCAGCACAGAAGAAAAAGTCCATCATTCTGTCTGGACTGTTTTCTCTCAAGTAATGGAAGTGGTATCATACTGAACAGTCTGGCAACAAACCAAGGTGACACCGTAACTGCTAAGAGCTTGGAGAAAGTATTAAATATGAAATAGAAAGGAAATATTCGGTCAGATCCAATTATCCTGACGAGCCTGAGAGGTAAATTATTGAAGTTCTTGGCATATGCACTGGTACATAGACTATCCTGAACCAACAACCACCTCAGGAAAAGATATGGCTGCATCTCTTAGTATCTTTAGGCTGATCCTCTGCAAGGGAGCAGTTTCACCTTGTGCCTCATGCTCAAGTGGATTGAAGTTTCCTCATGCCTTTCTTTCAGCTCCTCCACCTCTTGTGTAAGAGACCAGAGTACAGAGCCTGCCCCTCCAAGGGTTAAGAGATGTCTCAGAACAAGGCAAGCTGAGCATTTGCTTTTAATTCTGTCCCTTCCTCTGCTCCCAGCCTCAGTTTTTCACTTTGCCTTTTAAGCTTGCACATGCCATGTGAGCTTGTGGGATAACTGACCAGCCTGAGACTAAGAAAGCCTTTTTGCTTTGAAACCAGCAAAACTAGTTCAGGAATTGCAACTACATGTAGTCAAGCCTGCCCTGTAATTAGCTTTAAATAAAGGTCCCCTCGACAGGAAACTAAATACCCAGACTGTTTAACAATGACTAGCACAGCGGACAGGGCTTTTACTCCTTTGCTTCCAACACAGCAGCAGCTTTTCTGCAAAGCACAATCCAAGCAGCACAGTAAAGCACTACAACAACAACCATTTACAAAAGGCTCTTATTTGGGCTCTCAGAGAGGACATTTAAGTGTGGCATGATGCCTTTCCTCACAAATCAGTTGTTCCCAGGTGGAAGACTGCATTCATTCCCTGCAGCCACAACCACAAACCCAAGAAAGCCATTAGTGACCCAGCCACATGACAAAGCCTGGGGCACCCACAGACCCTACACAGAAGAGACAGCCTTCCAAATGGATCAAGGGGCCAGAGGTTGCTGCTGCTGGCTGGGGGCTGCTCTGCCTGGCTCCCCAGAACAAAGCACAGCGATGAAGTGGGCTGAGCACACGGTTCCCATGTACGGTGGGCAGTACACGGCTGCCCCTGCCTCTGAGGAAGGCATCCAGTAACCATCATGCCTGAATGTCAAGCGCCAGCTCCACTTCCACCAGGGCTTACCAAAGAAGAATAAAGCCTACTCCAGCTTCCCATGACCTTCGCTGTAAGATGAACTGATTCAATTAGCCATTTTCCCTGATTTACCACTTTTAAGAATCATTTAAATGGGTGGGAAGACTTCATTTGTTCAAAAAGCTTTTTGAACTTGGTTTCAAAGGTTACACGACCCAAGGATACTAAAAAGGCCTCAAGAGGCAGACTGTCATTTCAGTGTGTGCAAAATATTTAGCTGAAGGTAATACAGCTTCCCCCTGCACTGATGTTTTTAATCTGGTTTGCTCCCCTTCATCCACTGGTTAGTGATGAAAACACCGAGTCCCTCATGTCTTCGATACAGTGTATTGAGCTTTACAGAGGCACCTGTGCCACCTCATTCCTTGAAAAAGATTTCTAGGTTTCATTTAGCTCTGCTTTACAACCTGAGAAGACCTTTTGAGCTACAGCTGACTTGCTGCCTGCAACAGTCCTTGTTCCAGCATAGAGCTGAAAATTAAGGTCTCTAGTTGTATACTACAAAGAAAAATAGCAAGGTCAAACCATCCAATTTTGTCTTACTTTACACTTGGAAAAATGTTACCTAAGCACTTCTAAAACCTGATGGTCTCAGCTAAACAAACCGATGCTTGACCTGAAATTGCTGCAAAGTGAATGCCTGCTCAGTGCCCTTTGCAAGCCAGACTGCTCTGAGAAGTAAAATTCAAATGTGCTGAAAAGTTATGAGCAAAATTACAGCAACTGGGACCTTGCACCAATTTGGCTGTTACTGTCTATAAATAACCTGGTTGTTGATCCTGGCCCCTTGTTCTAGGAAAAGCATCCCATGATTAGGATTTCAGTGCTGTGAGAAGGATGGGAGAGAGCGAAACAGATGGAGCTGAAGACTTGGTGAGACTGAATTTTAATTTGCAAGCAGGATTACAATTCAAAGGGCCCTCAATTTCTTCCCTTCCTCCTAGATACCACCAAGTTTACAAGTATTTCAAAAACGCTAACAGCACTGCAGCTGACAGGTATGTACCCAGTGATTGTTACAGAGTAATACCACCCAGCTGTGAAGTAGTTGTATTCTACTCTTTTTACTTCTCAGCTATTGAAATCTTCTGGCTGTGTAGATGGGCAAATAAAGTACACCTGGAAGGATGCCTCATTAGAAAATTGTTTCTTTGGATTTAAGTAGTATTGTGACCAGGGTGACTCCTAGAACTCTGATCTGACACTTGCAATTTTATCTAGGCAGTTTGGTTTAAGAAATCAGGGACATCTCCTAAATAGCTGCTCCTTAGAAGTTAAACACCCCAAACATTCCTTATGGACTCCATCTGGCCAAGATGAAGTCCTGCTCTTTTCAGAGGAGACCAAACATTCCTGTACTTTGTGAATTAAGCAGGAACCCCAAGTGTGCAACACTGGACCAAAAGATCCTCCCACCTTCTTGTCTGCATGGTTTTCTTCCACCTCTTTTCAGTTTTGAGGCTCCCTTGGAAATCTTCCCCAGAGTCAGACCTACAAACAGCAAGCCTGAGGTGGGATGGGCAGCATTTGCTTGCTCGCTTTCATGCACCACTTAGAAGACAGCAGACCACCAGGCATTCATTGGTACAGGACTAAAAACCTGTTTTACAAGACCCATGTCTGAGATAGAGCAGCGGTGCTATTACAGTGTATCACTAACAACAAGTTTAGGCTTTTCCTCAGATCCTCAAGCTTGCTGTGTAAGAATGCTGTCCAAACAAGGAATGCAAACATGGCAAGTCATAAAGTAAAGGAAGGGTATTTTTACAGGCATAAAGGTGGGAAGAGAAAAGGCCATGTTCAGTGGGGCTGAATTAATAGCACTGCATATCTGGAACTGCTGACCTAAGCAAAGTGTAGATCCATGAGATGGTGCCATCCTTCCCAGCCAATCTCCCTTGAGACAGATCTTGCCTTTCCATCGCTGCTGCCTCAAATGAATTTGCAGTTTCAAAGCCAATTGCAGTTCAGCCAAAGACAGAACCCTGTGTGAACGCTTCCAAACTAATTTGGAATAGCCATCTACAAGGTCAGTCAGGAAATCAGTTACACCAATGAGGCTGTGAGGGTCAGTCACAGCCCAGTCTTACAGCTAGAAAGTAGTGCAGGAGTTCTGAGTAACTCAGCATTTCCCCTGTCACTGCTCTAAAATGAGAGGCAACAATCAGAACCACCGGAGTGGCAAGTTTGGCCTACATCATCGTCACACCCTTGCAAAATAAGGGAATAATATCCTGTCAGCTTTCTTTTATCTACAGGAAACAGAAGCAGTAAAGTCTTGAGAGCTGAGTCAATCTGTAAGTGCAAGGCAGTGATAGTAATAGAACCCAGATATCTTCCCACTCTCTCTTCCGTGCTGTCACCACAAACCCACCCTAATCACAAGCACACTGCGTGATGACAGATGATCTGCAGTTCTTTCTGCCTCTAAGAGTCCCCTCGTTAGCATCCTGAAAACCTGAAATAGCTCTAGACCCATAATTCCAGGTTTAGCCATTTCTCTTCATGCTTCTATCCAAAATTTAATAGACAACATGTGCAAGACAGCGATCGAGAGCTGTTCTAGTATGTACCCTCTACTCGAAGGAACCTTCACCTGCAGCTCCGAAGCCATCAGGTTAGCTTCCTCTCTTCAGAGTCTCTTCCCCTCAACTCCACCTCTGCAGCTTTGACTTGTACTACATCCCTCTCGCTTTCTCCTTAGTTCAGTTTTGTGCAGAAGGCATTGTTCCTTCTCCTTTCAGACACCTTTTTCCCTTTCTCAAGATACTCGTTTCTATATTTTCAGTTCTCTTTTCTTCAACGGTCTGTCCTATCCTAGGTCACTGGCTATTACACTACTACCAGTGATGTGGTACTACAAGATGTTTCATTAAATGGCTTACAAATCATGTTACATGATGCAGTGAGAGTAAGATGCAGGAATCAGCTTCTGGGCTAAGGTGTCTCCAATTTAGGCATCCACCTTGGAATAAGCTTCGTTCAGAGATTCATACATCTCTGCTGTCTACAAAGGGGGCCAAAAAGTCTGGCTATAGCTTACACATCTATATGCAGAGACCTAAGTTCATATGCCTTCAGCTACAAACTGTATCCCATGTAGCATCCTGAACACTGGCTAACAGATCTCAGATCACAACTATGAGCAGTAAACAGATCAGTAAATGCGTACAATTCTCCAGCGAGTTCCACAGAGATCTGGCCTTGGTCTGTAGTATTTAGACGCCAAAGAAACCCAAGGAGCACAGGGCTATGTTTTACTAAAACTTGCAAACAGGACAATGTGGACTCCCATCACTGGCAAAAATTTTCAAGATTATATGGCTTCCTAAAGAAAATAACTAATTTCCACATGTCCTACAGCCCACAGACTAGATGACAGTCTTTCTAGCTTTATAATACACAAAGACCTTTTTTATTTTCTGAGTTTCTTCCTTATGTCCCCCTCATCAAAAAGCCCCTCTTCAAAAACCCTCAGTGCAGCAGCCATTACCTTCACCTGCTCCTACAGTGACTTTTAGGAGACTGTCTTTATTCCTTCCCTGTCTTGGCACATGTCCTGCCTATTCCGGTCACACAACTTTAATAATCTCAGTTAGAGAACTCTTCCTGCAGCAACATCCTCTGCATTTTTTTTTCCCTTCCCACCACTCTATTAGGAAGCTCCGAAAGCCCTCTCACCTGACACTCATGGTCACCAACATGCTGCACACAAAAACACTTGGCACACTGACAAACTGAACTCAAGCAGACTTCACATTGTGATTCCTCATCAAAAGAATGAGCTAAACTCATTCCCTTCTGCAGTCACACTACCCTATATATGACGGGATCTCTTCCAAGTCTTTCCGTGCTGCCTCTACCTTCAATTTGCACCCAAGTCACTAACACAAGAATTAGATGTGATGATTTATGTACCTGCCTGTTAGACAAATGGATTATTCCTTAGGAATACTTGGTTTTCTGCAGCAGACACGAGTCAACTGCAGTTATTAGTGAATCTGAGGTGTTCTGCTGTCAAGCATCATACAACTATGAGTACATTCCATAGCAAACTGCTTAACGCAAACAATTGAATCGCTGTGGATGTAGGCTTATGCCCTGAAAAACATATAGATAAAATACCCATGCAACAGCACTGTTATGCAGGGGTCCTGCCCTCCATCAGGAGTTCCCACTGCTCTGCATGGGGTTCAGTGTCCTCACCTCTACTGGTCTAGGGTCAGCCTGTCACTCGATGGCTGATGCTGTCTTGTGCCACTGTTTGATGCTGCACATCTGTGTCAGCCTCCTTGCTGCTCCACAGTCAAGTCCCACAGTGTCGCATAGCAAAAGGCCACACTTAACTGACCTGCCGAGAGAAAGCTGATCTACCCATGCTGCTGAACTGCACAAATTAGCAGTGTGCAAATTACTGAGGGACTTCCAATGGTAACAGTGCAATTAAAGCACTACGATACCTGAATTTCTTTAAGAGCTGCGCATTCCCTGTGGCTTCTGTGTTCCAGCATTAGCAACGAGTTCTAAACGATTTGTTCAAGGATGCAAACACAGCAAGATCCAACCAAGCAGTCAATAAAATCAGAGCCAGTCATCTTAGACAAAAAAAAAGTGATGGGGAAAGTTCATGTGCTTCAGAAAAACAAAGCTTTCAACCTTGATTCAGTATTTACCTTGAAGTTTCACAAAACCTCCTATCAGAACTTCAGCTTTGAAGTATAGGCTTATCTCGGAGCAAATTTCTCCATCACATAATGCAAAACACTGAATTCCATCCAGGGACCTGCATTTATCATGACACCTGCATTTTGTTTTGGCACCATTCTGCAACTAGCAGGGACCAGCAACTTTTAAACTATGCACATAGCTTTCTAGCATGCTTTAGTCATGACTTGAACTGCAGAACACTTACACAGCAAGAAGTATTGCTGAATTCTCTGTCACGATGACCAACTCTGCACTTACCTCCTCCCCAGTAATCACAAGTTTGTTCAAACTCCCAGCTCCGTAAAACATACAGAAAAAGAACTGAAATAGAAGCCTGTTTATTTCCTACTTAACTTTGAACAGTCCTTCAACTAAAAGCAAGAGCCAGGCTCTAGGTGGGTACAAACAGCATCAAAATCCAGGGCACCAATAACTTTTATGTGCAGAAAAGAACAGGCAACTTGCTTTTGATTCAGCAAGTTTCTTTTCTTCCGGATGATGAGCCCTCGAAAGATTCAGGTAACTATGTGCTGTTTGCAAGATGCACTCATCTTTCTGAGCACTGCACATTACAGGCTGCACGTTCTTGTACAGAACGCAGGAAACACTTTCCCATACAGGTCTACCTTTGGCTTGGGTACAGGCAGTTTATTTGCAATGGCAAGGATAGCAAATAATTGCATAGATAGTTCACATTGGTCAGGAAAAGATGAGAGGAAACCATTTCAAACCAGCCACTTTTCACTATGCCTTTAATGTAAAGAAGTTAACTGTGAACTGCAGATATGCTTAAGACAGTTTTCAGCTGGTAATCCTCTCCAGATTATTATTTCTGACAGTTTGTTACTCATCCATAATATGCTGCTTTTCTGTTCATAATGCTTCTCACTTCAGACTGACTCATTTCACAGCCAGAAAGCCAGTGTCATGAAGAAAAACAGTGCATCCAACACTGACCGTGAAGAGCTCGTCTGAGAAAGATGACTGAGGTAACTTCCTCTTGTGGTTCTCGGAGCTATTAGTATTTCTGTTCTCCAAAACTAAGGGCTCTGGGACAAATTCATTGCCAGTATCAGGCTGTTCTCCTGCAACAGCACAGGACTGCTCCTGAGGAGATGATCTCCAAGACCTACACTACCGAGCAAGCAGCAGCCTTGCTCATGTTCCTTGTGGCTTAGCTCTATCATCTGAAAGGACTTCGCTGTTTCAGCTTTGTCAGTGGCTGAAATCGGTGTAAGCCTACAGTCACAGGCTCCAGAGGAATCGCACTACAGCTCAGATCCTGAGACAGGGCCCAGTTTAAGCAGCAAAGCTTGACCTTAGACCATGGAGTGTCAGGAAGGCATCTATCCCCTCGAACCCAGGATAGTGTTGGAAGAGGAAAACCCAGTCTCTCCACAGCTGTTCCTTGCATGGAAA